AGCCACTGGTTAGGACGAAGTGTTAAACAGCAGCAAGGCGAAGTTAAACAACAGCATGGATTCACAGCAGCAAGGCGAAGTTAAACAACAGCATGGATTCAGCCTTGGAAGGCGACTTGGAGGCTGAAGTTAAACAGCAGAAAACTTCCGTATCATTCTCCAGCACAACCACTGGTTAGGACGAAGTGTTAAACAGCAGCAGGACGAAGTGTTAAACAGCAGCATGGATTCAGCCTTGGAACGCCGAATCAGCGTACTGAACTTTGGCCAAGGCAAAACCATCATGAGCCGTGTTCGCGACTTGGAGGCCGAAGTTAAACAACAGCAAACTTTCGTATCATTCTCCAGCACAGCCACTAGTTAGGCCGAAGTGTTAAATAGCAGCATGGATTCAGCCTTGGAAAGCCGAATCAGCGTACTGAACTTTGGCCAAGGCAGAACCATCATGAGCCGTGTTCTCGTGCTGATGGTTCAGCCTGGCCGAATCAACATGAGCCACCATGGAGGATTCGGCCTTGGAGGCCGAAGTTAAACAGCAGCATGGATTCAGCCTTGGAAGGCCGAATCAGCGTACTGAACTGGTGGATTCGGCCTTGGAAGGCCGAATCAGCGTACTGAACTGGTGGATTTGGCCTTGGAAGGCCGAATCACGGAACAGCACGAGCCATCAGGCCGAATCATGTCAGTTCGGCTTACCATCTGCAACCAGAGTCGTTCGGGACGACTTGATGGTTTTGACCGTTCTGGGATTAAATTCATCAGTTACGGAACTAATTTTTGAATTAATTTCAATTTTAAAATTCGAATTTAAGTCTCAGATAATGGGCATGCTGTTTCAGGAGTTACAATCTAGTTTTCAATCAGTTTTAAGTTCCATATTAAAAGCTAGTGATATCCTCAAACTCCTATATAAACAGTGGTAGAGCATGTCATTTTTGAAACACAACGAAAATATGATTTTCTCTCTAAAAATTCTGCTTCTAGTCCTTTCTTGCTTATTGTGTTCTTGCCATTGCTCTAGTTCACTGGGTTCATTCGTTTGGGTTCTCAAACGTTGAACCGTAGTACATTTTATCTTGAGAAACCTAGGCTACAACGCTCCTAGCACTTTTGAGAAGTAGCGAATAAGGTTTTAAGGAAAGAATGATTCGCTCGACTAGTGCTAACCACTTACACCAACCCGAACCATATTCCTTTCATCCTTTCCTTCCCAATTTTTTCTATAAAATTATAATCCTTTTCATAGGATTATTATTGGGCATTTACCAACCATTATTTCCTACAATTTTATCGACATTAAGCTTTGTTTTTATAAATATATAAAAGAAATAATTATGAACTTACTACAAAGTGAATTGGAATAGATGTGATGTGCTTGTAATTTAGTGTTTATGTATATTAAAATTTAGATCAGATTTATTATCTTATAGAACAAATATGGTAAACATAGACACACAATATAATACACCATGAATGTTATTAAACATGCACGATGCACATGTATTGTAATGTTTATGTATATTAACCTTTGGTTTTATGAACACATAGAAAGAATCACTATAGACTCGAGAATGATAATAAATATGATATATATTTAGTTTAATTAGTGTTTATGTACATTAAGATTTATGCTTATTAACATATAGAACAAATATTATTGTAAATATAATACAGATGATTGTAGTATAATTCTCAAACAAATAATTATCCAGAATATCGGGTTATCGATCCACAGGGAAGCGAGACGTATAAAGCACTAGTTACTAATTTATTCTTGTGAAGCTAATCCTAACGAAAATCATGGTTGGTTGATTAATTATAAAGCCAAATTAAATAGCAAAGCAACAGGTTTTTGAAAACAACAGAGAGAGTGTGAGATTCCTAGGATTCGAGTATTTAATCACCTAGTGCCAATCTAAAGTGCGATATTGAATCTGTGTTCAAACAAGTGTGAGAATGCAAACAGTGGAAAGAGTTACTCCCGTAATCTCTAACTTAAGTGAATATCCACTCCCGTGATATAAACACTCAACAATGAAATGACAAGCATTCAATTCACACTCATAACTAAAACCATCTCTGATCCCGATGTGAAATAATCAATAATTAACTCCTTAACCAATATGCCATCTTCCAATGTACAACAATTAAGTGCAATTGTGTGTGTCCAAAATTATGCCTAACTCCCATTATGACATAAAGATAGCTATGAAATAAGTAACTATGGTCACTAATTACAAGCATCAACATTATAAATCACAACTGAAACACAAGTTACAAACCCAAATATCAATATATTAAAGAAATCTGAGAACTAGGCACATAGGTTCATAAATACTTTTACCCAAGAATCTCTAAAGTAACTTATCCACACATGGCTAATATAGAACTCATTCCAATAAGAAAAAGTTTACAAGCAATCAAGGAAAGTAAAAGAATAAACCAAGTGATTCTCCCAAACCTTCCTAGCTTTTCTTCTTGGTTCCAAAGACAACTTATAGCTCTTGATTCTCATCTTTCTCCAAAACATAGCATGATTCTTTCTAGGGTTAAGGAAGGGGGGATTTTATACCGGGAGCACAGCAGGGGCGAAATAGGAAATAACCGCGCAAAATCGGAACCTACCAAATCGACAACTCGACGCGTCGAGTTTGAGGCGTCGTTTTTCCGGAATCAAGGCTGGACGTCTCGACGCGTTGAGTTCTCTGAACTCAAAAATCTTAACTTCTGGAAATTTTGGACGCGTCGAATCTTCTGTGTACTCGCCTTTCGATCCACTTTGGCTCCAAACTTGTCCTAGAACTTTCCCTGCCTTTGCACTTGACCTACAATGGTTCCAAAACACTAACAAACACCGTTAAACATTCAAAACATGTGTAATACCATATCTAAATGAGAAAGCAAAGGAAAATGCACTGAAAGTATCAACTGAGTGAACTAAACCCCACAAAATAGAGTCAAACTAAAATTACAAATATGCACAATTAAGCTCACATCAACAGAGTACAAAATAATGTTATTAAACATGACACATTAATTAATACTTATTACTCTGTATAAAACAATGTAACTTTAAATCAAGGTCCACTACATAAGATGGTGGACCCTATATATTTACGATATAATTTGTCATTTTTACAAGAGTTTTATTATATGTATTTCATATTTTTACTCTCTCATTTTTACTCTGACAGTTTTTGGTAGTTATCTTCATTCTATGAGTCACAATAAAAATATCAATATCAAGAAAGTATTTTTGTTTTTACAATAAGAGCATCCTCACTAAGGGTAATAGTGTACAATATATACTACAATGCAAGCTGTACATTGTGTCTCACGAGAATCACAATACGTACGTCTTGTCGTAAAAATGAGATGCAAGAGGACGTCCATCCAAAGAAGGCAAAGATGTGGGTAAAACTTTAGTTCTCAAAAAAAAAAATGTGGGTAAACAGTAAACTTTAACTGTTTTCTTTTTCCAAATTGGGGGTAAACTTGAATGAGTTCTACTACATAGACTTCCAAAATTATACTCCCTCATTTATACTCCCTGAGGTGGCAAATCATGATTGGTTATTTTTATCATGTGGGTCCACAGGAAAATGTCTATATCAAGAGCATGTGAGAGGGAGTACAAGTTGAGAGTTTAAAAAGGGAGTACACCAAGTATTTTCCAACTTGAATTGTTTTCTAATGGTTCAAGTACTACGTTTGTAGGTCCGATCCAAAGATCCTGCAAGTAGTTGAAAGACATGTGGTAGGTATTGGGGGCCAATTACAATTCATACAAGTGTGTGGACCATGGTTCAAAGCGACATCATTAAATTTTATAAATTAGAATAATGTATTTTATATGTTAAAATAATGTACATTATGCATGTGTTAGAATAATGAAACTTATGGGGTAAGATAATATATTTTATAAGTTAGAATAATGTATATTATGTTTTAAAATAATGTATATTATGAGTTATAAAAATATATGTTGTATGTAGTGGTGGAGAGAAAAAAAAAATTATAATGAAAAGACGTGGTGTCTACGCAATAACTATTGAGTTTTTTCCATGTTAGAACAAAAACAATTCAGGTAGCACATGTGTTGGCTTGGGTTACGGGCTCTCAAATATTCTTAGGGGAGTGGAATAAAGGCCTACCATCTTATATTACAATTGTTATATCGTGCACCATGTCGCATAATTTATTGTGTACTCTCAAAATTTCATGTTTCGTATGTACATAATTGTATAGTAGAATACATATAAACTCTTAACATAATATGCATAGTCTAAGATAATACACATAAATTCTTAACATAATACACATAACTCTTAACATAATACATATGAACTCTTAAGATAATACACATAAACTTTTAACATAATAGACATAACTTTTAAGGCGCACGATATAATTTGCCCTAATATTAAGCAAATTTTTATGCGGACCATGATTCACACAACGCTGTGTGGACTATAAAAATAATATACTAAAAGTATATTATTTGTATAGTGAATATACATTATACAAAATAATATATTTTTAGTATTAAAAAAATGTACTTTTCTCTAAATAAAAAAATGATTTTAATATACTAAAAATATATTATTTGTATATTAAATATACATTATTTGATAATATACAAAATGATGTGATATATATATATATATATATATATATATATATATATATATACACACTATATTGATTAGAATTTTATAAAGGGGTTAAATTAAACTTATATAGTATGACCAATCATTATTGGTCCATAAAGCTATGTATATTATATTATATTAAGAGAAAGTATCTTATTTGAATACTGAAAATATATTATTTTGTATAATATAGATTTAATATATAAATAATATATTTTTTTATTATCGTACACATAATAATTAGCAATAAGGACCTGACCCTATTAATATAGTAAGGTTCTGTTGTTATATATATGGGCATGCCAGATGAAATTGAAAGGCAGAAATTTGAGAGCTTGAGGCTTGAGCCATGGCGGATCACGAGGGTAGCAAGCTTCACATTATGATGTACCCATGGCTGGCCTTTGGCCACATGATTCCATATTTAGAGCTCTCCAAGCATATTGCTTCAAGAGGTCACAAAGTCTCTTTTGTTTCAACTCCCAGAAACATCGACCGCCTCCCCAAACTCCCACCGAATCTCGCTTCCCGTATCAACTTTGTCAAGCTCCCTTTGCCGCCCCACCAAAACTTGCCGGAAAATGCAGAGGCGACCATCGACTTGCCGTATGATAAAGTGAAGTACCTTAAGCTAGCTCGTGATGCTCTTCAGGAAACCATGGCTAAGTTTCTTGAAGAGTTTTCCCCGGATTGGATTTTACATGATTTCGACTCTTACTGGTTGGCTCCCGTTGCATCAAAGCTCGGTGTTTCCACGGCTTTATTTAGCATCTTCACTCCCCCGACGGTGGCTTTCTTCGGGCGATTAGTTGATTTTGCAGAGCGGACGAAAGCGGAAGATTACACCGTTCCGCCCAAGTGGATCCCGTTCAAAACAACCGTTGCCTTCCGGCTTTACGAGATTTTACGCATCATCGACGCCGTGACGGAGGAAGACGACAACGTTTCCGATATTTTCCGATTGATTTCGGGCGTAGAACGGTGCGATATTGTGGCCGTGAGGGGCTGCTCGGAGTTCGATTCCGAATGGTTAAAGCTCCTGGAGAATATTCACCAGAAGCCGGTTTTCCCCGTCGGGCAGCTTCCCACGACGGCTTACGACGCTGGCGGTGGCCATGAACCCACAGGTGATTCATGGAAGGATATCAAAGCGTGGCTTGACAAACAAGAAACCGGTAAAGTTATCTACGTTGCATTCGGCAGCGAGGCCAAACCGAGTCAAACTGAACTCACTGAGATCGCACTCGGATTAGAGCTCTCCGGGTTTCCCTTCTTCTGGGTTTTAAGAGCCAGACGCGGAGAAGCCGATCCCGAGTTGATCCACCTCCCAGAAGGCTTTGAAGAGCGCACCAAAGGGCGCGGCATTGTGTGCACGAGTTGGGCACCGCAACTCAAGATACTGAGCCACGAGTCAGTGGGCGGGTTCTTGACTCACTCCGGTTGGAGCTCAGTCGTAGAGGCCATACAGTTCGAGAAGCCATTAGTTCTGCTAACCTTCTTGGCAGACCAGGGGCTAAACGCTAGGGTTTTGGAGGAGAAGAAAATTGGCTACTCTGTGCCGCGAGACGAACGAGACGGGCGGTTCACGAGAGAGGCAGTGGCCGAGTCATTGAGGTTAGTGGTGGTCGAAAAAGAAGGGAATATTTACAGGGAAAAAATCAAAGAAATGAAGGGATTGTTCTGTGACCAGACCAGGCAAGATGGTTATGTGGACACTTTATTACATTATCTTCACTGCCACAAAAGCATAAAATATGGCACCCAAACAATCTCCACTCCAGAGCTTCGAGCATCTGAGTAGCGCCTAGCTATTTTTTTAATCATGCAAATGACTAGTTGCATTCATCTCTGAAAATTGTAAGCCATTAATTTGATTAAAATGGGCATATATATTATGCATTGCTCCACTTGTCTGCTGGAAGTTCCAACTCCTTTGTATTGTTCTATATATGCAGTGTGCAAATTGAATAATAATTTCCCTATTATTGTGCTTATTTTAAACCCCAATTTTTGGCAAGATGGTTATGTGGACAATTTATTAATTAGTTTATTACATTATCTTCACTGCCTCAAAAAAGCAAAAAAAAAAACATAAAATATGGCGCCCAACGAATCTCTAGAGATGGCTGCATTGATCCAAATCTTTGCAAATCGTAAGCATAAAATATGGCACTCAATTTAAGCCTTTAATTTGATTGAATAAAATGGGCATATATATTATAATATTGCTCCACTTGTCTGCTGGTAGTTTAATTTGATTAAATAAAGACAATCAGAAACCAATTGTTATGCTGAGCACATGGTGCACACGGTTGTAAAAATGACACTGTTTTAACTAAAAAATGCGCGTTTCACTTTAAAAAAAAAAAAAATCAGTTCTGATTTTCGTCAGTGCATAATTCTGAATTTTTAGTTTATTCATTTTGGATATTTAGACGGAAATCGAAACTGGTTTTTTTTTTTTTTTTTTTTCCATTCATGCTGGATATTTAGTACATTCATTCTGGATATATAGTTCAAATTATGCACAACATAATGATGTTGTTGGGAATCGAAACTGAATTTTATTTTAAAGTGAGACGTGCGTTTTTAGTCAAAACGACGTCATTTTTGCAACCGTGTGATGCACACGGATGCACATCATAATTTGCCATCAGAACCAGTATGGTGACTAATTGGGGGTAAACCTTCTGACGGGCCAACATAACAGATCGAATGAATAATGAATAATAAATATAAATGGGTGGAAAATCGTAAGCCTTTAATTTGATTAAGGGTGTGTTTGGTAAATAGATGTTAACTGATTGGGTTAGTGAGTTTGACTAGTTGCTAACATTAGCAGATTGTAGAAAAATGTTTGATAAATTAGCTAACACTTGACTATCTTTTGGCTATTTTGATGGGTGGGAGTGGCAGACGTGTCAACTTCAAGCTCTTAGCTGTTAGGGGTATACCTAGTGCCTTATGTTAACTTATAAAGAAGTCATAGAATATAGTTAGCATTATGCTAACATTAAGAGATCTCTACTTAAGGCATGCTTGTAAGGTTTTAGAGATCATACAGTGTATTCTTTTGTACAATTTGGATGTGTTTCTTTTTTAAGTTGTGTACATAGTATATTTTGAGAAACATCTCTTAATGTACCGAGAATAAACATTGGGTTTGTTTATAAAGGACCTAAGTTAGAGAATTAAAATGCATGTGACCATAATGGATACTACTCTGATTAAATAGAGGACATATCACTATGATTCGTGTGTTTTGTTCTTTGATAATGGTTGTGATAGTACTTGCACCAAGTGGGAGAATGTAAGATTTTCCCTAATAATATATATTGTATATTATATATTTGGGCATTAATGAATCGCAAATTATGCCCTGGAAACGTGTTCACCGTGAATGGTGAACACAAGTCCAAACCACTTCGTTTTTACGCAAAAAAAAAAAAAAAAAAAAAAAAAAAATCGCGGATGTGGAGTTAACGGCGCCGTTTGATCAAATTATGAATTTTCTGTTATGAGATTATGAATGTAATGAAAATTGATAATCTCATAACAGAAAATTCATAATCGCATAAAAGTAAAATATTTATTAAATTATGAATTTTCTGTTATGAGATTATGAATTTTCTGCTATGAGAATGAGATTATGAATGTAATGTATATTCATAATCTCATAACAGAAAATTCATAATTTCATAACAGAAAATTCATAATCTCATAACAGAAAATTCATAATCTCATAACTGAAAATTCATAATCTTATAACAGAAAATTCATAATCTCATGGTTCCAAAGTGAATGTGTAGGCATGGTTCCAAAGTGAATGTGCAGGCATGGATTCATAATTTATGAATGTACGTGATTTCGGATGGGAATGTTTAGGCATGGTTCCAAAGTGAATGTGCAGGCATGAATTCATAATTTATGAATGTCCGAAATCATTGCTCACCTCAAATTAAAGTGAAACCGCGAAATGTGAAAATGAAGAAGAAAAGTCACGCAATTAATTAAGAAAAAAAAAAAAAAGATAACAGTGTACTAACACCGTTGGAACCGTGTTCACCATGAATGGTGAACACGGTTCCATGGCATAACGATTGAGAATTAATTAAGTGGGACAAGTTGACTAGACTTATTAAGTGGTCTGATTGGACTGAATAACTAGAAGTTGTTATTCAACCAGACTCTGTGCCTAATATAAATCTGGATCAATCGGCTTCAGGATATTCATTATATAGCACATACAGATGCGATACTCATACTGCTCAGTAGACACCAATACGCCGGTCTACCGTTCAAGAGGCAATACAACATGAACATCAACTGTGGCTGGAAATTAACACACTATTGCTTCCGCTTATACGAGGTCAGGTTTCTCGTATACTACTATTTAATATTGTTTTAGGCAAAACAATCAACCAGGCATAGATTATAAAGGCTCTGATAACAAATGTATAACACTATGCAAAATTACTTTATCAAAAAGTTGATAAAAAAAAAGCTATTTCGAACAGTTTTTTGAATTTTAGCATTTTAAAAGAGTTAATTCCAGCAATAGTCCTCCGACTATTGTGATTTTCCAAATTTGGTCCTTGTCTTTTAATTTGGACGAAATAAACCCTTGAGTATCAAAATTGTTCCACCATTGGTCCTTCCGTTAACCAACAGTTAGACAGACGTTAAGTTAAGGGGTAAAAGGGTATTTTCCATAACTAGGTCTCTTCTTCTCCTTGACTATTAGAAATTGTTCCACCTGGTAAAAGAGTACTTTTTATAGCGCTGACTTGCAGTTGAGAGCAAGAAAAATCCAACCTCAGTTTCCGCAGAACCAAACTTGGGGATTAGTATTATCCAGTGCACCAGTTCCATGTACAAAGATTCAATAAGGCTTCTAATGATTCAACAGATGAAGAACAGACCACAGGGAACTAAGTATACAGATAACCAGTATATGCAGTGGAAAAGGCATCCACACCATACTGTGCACTCAAACTTGTTAATTCACATTTTCCAATAGCTGAGAGGTGGGGTGATCTATGAGATATATACAGAATGAATAAATAATACTGATCAACCAAAATGAATAAATAATACAGAATTAGAAAAATCAAACTCTTGGCAAAACTTTAAGCATTAAATTTATTAATTCAATTAGCAATTTGAAATAACTTAAGAAGCAGTGTAGTCACTCTACACTACTAATAATCTCCTATGAGCCAATAATTAGATAATTTTTGAAACTCTTTACACTGAATGCAAAAATTCAAACAAATTCCTCAATAAAATAGTTAAGTTAAGAACTGAAAATAGAAAGAAAATTGTGATAGATACCCCAGTAACGGAGTGACAGAAACTTGACGACGGTATTGGAAGGCGAACATCCCAAGCTAACATGCTCTGCAGCCTTGATCTGAGTCGTTTCCGGGTCTTCATGGGAATCCGGGTCGGAAACGCTGATAGCTAACGCCAATTGGGAATCGCGGACGAAGACGGCATCGTTTCAGAAGAGGACGAAGCCGGAATCAATGCAGAGACCGATTCCAGAAACGGCGGCAGATCAATTGGTGGTGGGCGGTAGTGCGAGTGATGATGGTGATCGGTTCCCGCCGTTGTGAAGTTTCCAGAGTAAATGCTTCATCTTCGACATGGGGTCTCATCGGCAAGAGAAAAGAATTCCAAATTGATTGTATACGTGCAGGAAGAAGAAACCCAGCATAGAAAATTACCATTTTAACCCTACACTAACATTTATTTAACTGTTGGTTAACGGAAGGACCAATGGTGGAACAATTTTGATAGTCAAGAATTTATTTCGTCCAAATTAAAAGACGAGGACTAAATTTGGAAAATCACAATAGTCGGAGGACTATTGTTGGAATTAATAAACAATAAATTGTTACAAAAGACTAATTAATCAAACACTATTGTTTAATCAAGTCAAACGGTTATAGTGATCAAAATTGACTGATAAGCTATTAGGGTCTAAATAAAATGTGTGTGTGTGTGTGTGTATATATATACATCCACATCAATGGTGAAAGAGGAGATAATGTCAGATCTATTAACTTGGGTGGGGATAATAACAAATGTGGGGTGGGGTTATTTGTGAAAATAATTGTTCTGCAAATTCAAGCATAATGTCAGAAAAAAAGAAAAAATAAAAATAAAAAATAAAAAAGAACACTGGCTGTGCGCGTTTGCGCACAGCCATGTCTACACAGGCGCGTGCAATGCACGCGCCCGTGTAGCGCGCCTGACGCGGCAGATTTTTTTTTATTATTATTTTTTAATTTTTGTTTTGTTATTTTTTTTCTTTCTTTTTCTCTCCCTACCACATTCTCTTTCCTAATCACTCTTACATTATCTCCCAAATCTCTCCAACTAATGTGGATGCTCTAATATTACTCCACTTGTCTGCTGGAAGTTCCGACTCTTTTGTAAGTTCGCGCAAGTTGATTAATAATTTCTCTAAATCTTTAACACAAAGATGAATGAGGGTTGGGTGTTTTTTTTTTTTTTTTTTTTTTTCAGTTTTTACATTCTTAATGTAAAATTGTTAAAATTAAATAAATAAATAAAAAATTTATACGATTTTATCACTATCTCATTACTTTACTTGGAGTACCCGTCACTTTTGGTCTAATTACACAAATTTGACTTGTTCAGCGATGAGAACTGTAACAATTGTATTTAATGTGGTAATTAATATATGCAGGGAAGAGTCACATGATGACTAGGATAAGGCGTTATAAACTGACTCAAATACATAAAGTCCTAATATCAGCAAGCCAATTGCATTTTTTTTAAAAGTTCGATATTATAATTGCACTTTTATATGTAGTTCAATAGTTAATTTGATTCTTATTAAAGAGGCAGGACCAAAGTACTAATACACACGGGAAGAGAATGAGACCACACTCTTAGACCAGATTGAGAGTTTATAATCACCAACTATAATTATAAAGAGTTATATTACATGTACTTTCAAATCTTACTTC